AGAGTTTTACTTACTGTAAGTTGGAACATTGGAGAGTTATGTTAATGAAATGTATGTGTTTACGGTGCAAAAAAACAATAATAATAAATGTAATGATAATAAAAAAACACTTCAATAAAATTTTTAAGTCCACGTTTAAAGAAATGGATTGAAATGGGAAGAAACTAGGAGTTAGAAGAAACATGAAAGACTTGAAAAAAACTATAAGAGTTGGAAGAAATTGAAAGAAGTTGGAAAAAACTAGAAGTAGGAAAAAAGTGGAAATAGATAGAAAAAAATAGAAGGAGTTGGAAAAACTTAGAAGGCGTTGAGAAATGTTGGATGCTAAGTTTTCCAACACAAAAGATAATGCCTTAAGGGCCCATTCCATTCAACTTATTATTCTGATTATTGCGTATTTTTATTAAAATCATTTCACATCAGATTTAATTAGATCAGATTAGATCTGATCAGATAAGATTCAATTAGATTATATCATAAAGAACTTTAAATAAAATTACAATCGTATCAGATCAGATGTAACCAAATTAAATCAAACCAGATCAGATCTAATCAGATCACATCAGATCAGATTCAATCAGACAATGTAAGACCAAATCTTCAAAAAATCAGATCAGGCAACCGGAACACAGCTTGAGTCGTGTTAAATAGGCTAGTACTACCTAGTAGTGAACCATTAAGAAACAAGTCATCTATTGAAAATTAGGGTCATCAATAAGGCCTAAAGTCTTTTAGCTCTAGCAAACTATATCATACATCCAGATGTACCTCCTTTTATGTACATCTAAAGATATATTCTTTTAGATTCGAGAAGGTCTACTGCTGACCTGGGTGTACCTAGAGCTAGGTACACTTGATAAATACTCATTTTAGATTCGTACCCGTGCGTTGCACGGCCTAATTATAAACTATATAATTAGGGAAACATTGATGAAGAAAAATGATAAAATTAAATTAACATAATAACATATAATCAAATATTAAAGAAATTATGAATATTATGCATGTTCATCATGAAAGATCACTTCCATTGATTCTCCTCCTCTTGCACAAGTTGGAACATAGTAGACACGAATGGCTCGTAACATAAGCATCTAAGTAATTCAACTATTGTCATTCGGCAAACGCATTCCACATAATCTTTAAATGTTTTGAGACATTTTCTGAAAATGTGCCAAATTGGGATGAGAGGTATGAAATGTTAAGAGTATAAGGAGTATATATAATTGGAAAATCAATCTACCCATTAAATGCTTGAATTTAGTAAATCGATTTATTTAATATGTTTTGACATAAAGCAACGATGGAGCCATGCACTAACTTTACTACGCACATGATTCCATAATAATACATTACCCATTTATCTATTTAGATTTGACATAAAGTTTGCATCGAGCTACGTACCAACTTTACCACGCACACGGTTCCATATTAATAGACTACTCATTTATTTATTTGGATTTAACATAAAGTTTATATCGAATCACATGCCAACTTTACTACACATGCGTTCCCATATCAATACACTACCCATTTATATATTTTGATTTGACATAAAGTTTGCATTGAACCACACATCAACTTTAATACGCACGCAGTTCCATATCAATACACTATCCATTTATTTATTTTGATTTGACACAAAGATTACATCGAGTCATGCACCAACTTTACTAAGCACGCAGTTCCATATGAATACATTATCTTCCGGAATTGATAGGTTCATTTTTTCTCTCTGGCCCAACAACTAACCCGAGCCCATGTAGTTTAGACGGGAGAATTCACTGTTCATAAAAATCAAATTCACATAAGAGGGGTACTCTAATACCTCCACATCCTACTTCCCACAAAAAAAAGAGTTTTATAGTTGACTAAACTCAATCACAAATAGCTTTAACTGCTAGCCTGCCCTGAACTTCTAAGAATCATATAATATTTACAACAATCAAACACAATAACATATACAAAGATATTATAATAATATATAACCTGGTGTATTCAAGAAAATATGTAAGACTTAAGAGAACGTGTTCATCCATGTATTAGAGGGTTAAATGTCACGCAAGCTCTATTTCAATGGACACTATCCCCAATGTTTTCAAATATTGAATGAGAAGAGATCTTTATAACATCCAACATGAAGATGCTCTTTTACTGATTTATAAAAAAAATAAAAAGAAGATAACATTGAACACATATCAAATACACTTATGGGAGTATGTGAGAGTTTCTTTTTTTTTTTTGTGATAAACTTAAAGGACACAAATTTGTACCTCAAATTTGCACTTATTACTATCTCAGGTATTGGAGTTAACATGGTCATTTTTTTCCCCTCCTTCTTATTCGTTTTTATCCAAATGTGCGGTCCAAATTCAGCGGCTATTGTAGCGTATCAAATGGGCGGGAATACTGTTCATAAACTCATCTTACCTTAGCATTGTATGTAGTAGTAAGATAGATGTTCATTATGTTATGCCGTGCCCTGCTTTTGCCACCGCCATTGTACATGTTTTTGTCTTCTTATTCTTCACAACTATCGCTGCTGTGCCACCATGCGGCCTACATCTTCTTCTTCAGAACTACTGCTAGCGCCATCGTCAGCACCCCCACCTTCAAGCTCAGCGGCACTGGCTACAATATATACATCCCCACCGAAACCTAGGAAACTTCAGATTTTGCCGCCGTTGTTGTCGTTTTTGGGTGAAGTCGCCGCTGTGCGTGTTTATTATTGTCGCACCTAGGGTTCTGCCCCACCTTGGGTTCCTTCTTGATCGGCACCTCTTCCATCACACGCTTCTTCTCATCTAGATCATTGTTTGCCGGTTGTACCCGAAGTTCCGGTACAACAAGATCGATGTTTAATAGGTTATGTATTCCGATTCTAACTCAACTTTCAATCTCTTCAACTTCTAAATTTTCTAGATTTTTCTTTTATTCCTTCTATTTTCTTTCAAATTCTTCTAGTTTTTCCTACTTTTTCGGTTTCTTACCAACAATGACCTAAACATTTTATTTATCTATTTTCATATTTTTATTATTGTTGTTGGTTGTTTTAGCTCTTCCTTGTGTTATTATTATTATTATTGTTGTTGTTATTATTATTACTATTATAAATTATTATCATCATCATTTCAATAGAATAGAAAAAATGATGCAATGTTACAATTTAATTAATTTATTATTTAATTTTTTCACAATTTAATTTTTTTTATTTTTTAATCTTTTGAAATGGAGAAATAGTCCATAGGTTTCTTTTAAAAATATTGGGCAGATATATCCACCTGTTTTTATATTCAATTTGTTTTGCATAGAGCGTAGAAAAAGAAAAAAAATATTGAAATTGGCAGACCAGTCTACCGTTATGTGAAAAAGACAAAAATTATATTTTCTCCGTCCGTAAATATTCTTCTCATTTGACTTTTCTTAGTCAAAGTTTGTAAACTTTGACTATGATATGTAGAAAAAATATATTGTATTACGATATAACTTTAATATGAATATATTCATTTTGAAATATAGTTTTTTCAAATATCAAATTTTTAGAAAATATATCCATGTAAAAATAAAGATATTAGTGGTCAAAATACAATCTTGGAGACCTTAAAAAGTCAAATGGGAAGAATATTTCCGGACGGAGGGAGTATATAAAATCAAATGGACCATGTGGTGGATGATTAAGAAAGAATAAGAAGTGAAAACTCCATACATTTTAAAACAAGAATTTATGTGGCACCTAAAATAAGCAAGAATTGTTAGTGTGGTGGCAGGAAGTAATGAATTGTTAGTGTAATGGTAAATTTGAAAATATTGATCTAAAATAGAGAATTTGTTGTTTCTTTTCACCTCCTTTCTCAAGTACTTTTAATTTTCTAGTAAGAATTTTCAGGTTGCTGCTCTTAAAAGGCATGGGGCCAAACTAAAATACCTCAGCTAGTACTGCTTAGCCTATAGCCGGTCTAGCTCTTGAATTTGACTTTCAACTTGCTCTTAGTCAGTCTTTTTTTCCCAGTATCAATGAACCCGCCCACGATCCGGTAGCACTCCCCTTCCTCTCCCCTCTTCGAGGGACTTCGTACCTCTTGTAATATACTTAAGGGATCCTTAAAATTTGTGGTAATGTATTTTAATGATACATTTCATCTTTTTTGCTGTTAAGATTGAAAGTTCCACTACTTTAACCAATCAAACATAAAAAATTTAGTTTGGGATACTTGACACTTTATGCTAAGAATTCCTAGGTCCCATATTATTAATTTAACATTGAATAATCATTTTTTATTAAATTTGAATAAAATCTTTTAATTTTTATGTTAAATAATCATTATCTTAGTTGTTATAAGAACTATTACCTTATTTATCTTATATTTTTCAAGTTAAATAATTTTTAAGTTAAATAATCATTATCTAAGTTAAAAATTAGTACGGAGTAAACTAATTATTATTTAATAAAATTTAATACTCCCTTTGTCCAAAAATTATCTTCTCGTTACGCGTTACAATATTTGACTGAAGTTATTTTCAAATCATTTTACATGAAAAATGGCGTGAAATTAAAAAAATAAAAATCATATGTTAAAAAATTATATGAAAAAATCTACAAAACTAGAGATGAAATAACTATATTATTTTATCAAATGTGTAACAAAAATAACGAATAAAGTGAATAAAGTTTGACTATATAAATAGTAAACGGGAAAATAATTTTTAAATGGAGGGAGTAATGTAGAACCTACCAATTCTTAGAAAAAAAGAAGTGACACGTTAGAGTAAATTTTTTAGTTTTTGATATGTCAAAGTAACAAGAATTAAGTTATTTGTACCTCAAAATATACCCACTTTGTACTCCAAAGACGTGCATTTAGTATGATGATTTTATAATGATACAAAATGTTAATATAATTTTTTTGATTAAATTAATATTTTGTGTTGAATAATTAAAATGTCCATACATTTTTTGAGTATAACTTGAGATAAGACTTACAACTAACAAAAACGCTACTCCGAATGAATTTTCTGGTTCGGTTGCCCCTGGTCTTCAGGTTTGCCCTTAATCCCTTCGGTTCATAATTCTAAAACCCTTGTTTTTACCTCAATTTCATCTCTTCTACAATTTCCCTACTTCAACAGCTGAAAATGAACTTTTCCGTCGCGAAACTCGTCAAGCTTCTACAAATGTCGCCTTCCACAAAACCCACTTTTTCTCTTGGTATCGTCGTCTCCCCCTCGCTCTATGTGACATACACTCTCACACAGTGACACAATTCATAAGTTAATGTGTTCGTGACATTTACGACTTAGTGTCATTCTGATGTAATTGGGAAATTACAGAGTATAATTGTAAGAAGTATATTTAATAGATTTCTCAGGTTTGAGTCTGGAGAGAGCTTTTGATCCAATGTAGGGCTGGTTTCAATTTATAAGTGTTCTCGGAACGTTTGATCCAATAGGAATGTGTTATGGGCGGCGGGCATTTTATTTATGTATCCCTTTTCCCTAGGAAACATATGCCGACTTCATTGATCTAAATGTTTGTTTCATGCTGAATTGAAGCGATGGGTGTAAAAGGAACCTCCAGACATTTATTCTCAACCAACACATTTCATGGCAACTCTAACAATGCTGGCGACATTGGCAGTGTAGAAACTGATGACAGTGATTTTCTACACAAGAAGCGCGAGATAAAGCTCCATGGAGTTGATCCCAGAAAAGGATGGAGTTCTCGGGGTGTCCACAAGGTCTGCTTATAAAATTGAGGCAAAAGATAAACTTGGCTTGTTATCTATTTAGAGTTTGATTTGCATTGCTTCATATTTTTTCAATTACTGTACTAGATGGTCACTTAATGGCTTAATTTCTTCCTTTGTCTCTAAAAGTTCTCATTTGCTTTTTAACAGGAAAAGTGAAATTGTTTGGTGGAAGTTTATGAAAAGGAGGGAGAAATTGTGTGAACAACTCATTTCTTTCCCTAAATGGAGTGAGAACTTTTGATTGGGACAACTGAAAAAGTAAAACAGTTAGTTCTTTTAGGAATGGAGGGAATATGTGTGTGTGTGTGTGTGTGTGTCTATATATATATGGATTTATCTCAACATGTTGTACACTAGAGTATCCCTGGTCTGCTTGATTAATGTCTACTAAGTGTGTTATCTCAGGGTGTAGAAAAACATAGAGGCTATTTTCTCTAGATCCTTGCTGCATTTATTGCCCAAAACTTCATATAAATTAGGAAGCTAGGGAAGTTTAATATGTCATTTTGATTTAGTCCATTTTCACCCTGAAGGTAAAACATTGTCAAAATGACTCTTTTGGCAATGGCTAACAAATGATAAAACCAATGATGAAAACCATGAAAATTATAAAGCATGTGATGAGGTTTATGATTAGAACCATGAGTTTCCAACTGTATGCTTACATTTCTCTTGTATTGTCTCATCAAAGCATATAGTGGTGTGCGTGCCGGTGAAGCGATGTGTTTTTGAAATCTTATGATTGGATAGATGAAATGTACTTAAGACCTACTCCCTTCCCACTATACGCAGGCCATTATATGTGGCAAAGTTGGTCAAGCTCCCGTGCAGAAGATACTTAGAAATGGACGAACTGTAACTATCTTTACAGTTGGAACAGGTGGCCTGTTTGATCAAAGAATAATAGCAGACCAGAACTTGCCGAGACCAGCTCAGTGGCATCGGATTGCTGTACATAATGAAATGCTTGGGACTTATGCAGTTCAACAACTTACCAAAAAGTAGGTCCTGTTATTTTTAATGTATGCAACAATTCACCTACATTTACCCCATTTCATCTGATATGTGATGCTATTTCAGCTCTTCTGTTTATGTTGAGGGTGACATTGAAACTAGGGTTTACAATGATAGCATCAATGCTGAAGTGAAAAGCATACCAGAAATTTGTGTGCGCCGAGATGGTATGTCAACTTACTGTATTTGATGATACAAATGTTCCATAAATCCAAAGTGATTTATGTTATTATCATGCTTAACAGGGGTAGAAATACTTGTGTATCATTGTGGGATTTGTGGTATCTAAGAAGCTTGTGATGAACCATAGGAGCACGTTGCCCACTGATATTATTAAGGCACATATTCTTTAAGTTAAAGATGATTTTTGGGTTAATAGTATGTAGTACTAAGATCCATCAATCTCCCAGAGTCCCAGGGTGAAGGAGATTGCACTCCGCATCCTAACATGAACTAAATACTGAAAACCTGTAGCAATGTAAATAGAATGCATTTTTCCTAGACTTCTAGTCTTTTTCAATACATTGGGAATTCGCAATTCTTAGGGAAAACTTATGCATCACTTTTCATAATGCCAGTTCCAAAGGACTAACTGGGAAGTGGGCACACATGCTAATGTGATGAACTGTAGTACTGTACATGTTAATTGCTCCCTTCTCCCCATGTTATATGTTTGACTCGTGTGAGGAAACTTGACTCAAGTTGTTTACAATGCAATGTATTAATAATATTTAAAAATCAAGTTTGTCAATGGAATTTATACATTGAGAAACTACATGTAATGATCTATTTAAGACATAAGCAACATGCAATTATGTTTAAATAAGGGATTTTTGCCCATTCACTGAATTTATACCCTACTATTTACTCAAATTAGTACTCATCTATGCAATTTGGGTGTAATTATGTCATAAGTTTAAGAAAACTGTTCTTATTTAGAGAAATATATGCATGGGGACCAAAAGAACGTCGAGAAGATGAGAACCAAAATAAGTAATAGTGTATAGTCGAAAACATTTTTTAACTAGTTCTTTGTTTCTTCTTTAGAAACTTTAAAAGAAAAATGAAAAGTCATGTTTGTTGATGTTTTTTGTGTTTGTAGTTTTCGAAAACACCGACAAAGCAGTATCTTCCCATAGGCAAAGTTGTTCTATTTGTGTTTGCAAATGTAACACTTTCACGCACCCTACCTCATCAACTACTCTAAATTTGTACAGAGTGCTCCACAATTCCACATATTACTTACTCCATCAGACCTTTCTTGAAAAATGACCCACCGTCCCTCTACATATCTGATATGACACCCACCTCAGCTCTTTGTTGATTTGCATCATCTTTGAGCCTACCCAAATGCACTCTTCACTTTAACCACTTACGGCTTTACCAAATCTCAACTTATGAATAATCACCCTCATACTCCAAATCCATCTTTGTAGTACATTTGGTCCATTTTTTGCCTTACTCCAAGTCCATACACCCTCTTCTTTGACCACTTCTTCCCCTCTTCTCACATAATCTCAGATTTACCAACTTCATTACTTAATGGGAAAAGGTGAGGATGGGTTATCCTTTTAATTATGGAAAGAAATTTGATGGGGACTATATTTTACTTTTGGAGTAATAGCTCTCTTCTACCCGATTGACTTTTATTCTTAGTTTCTGGTTGAAAAAGTAATATGAAACCATAAACATTAACAAAATTAATATATTAACCATTACCTCTTTGTTCAATGAGGACTATATTTTGCTTTTGGTCCCTTAAGGCTTCAACTATAGCGGCATTTCATGTTTGTCTTCTGTTTGGTTTCATCTACTTTAACTCTTTAAGTCTTGAACATTATAAAGTGTTTCCTCTGCCTTGCTGGGGTAGGGTTAACATATTCTAGTCGAACCAGTTAAACTTTTACCAATAATAGACTTTTGGATAAAATGATTTGCAATATGAAAGTAGTATAGAATCATTTTGTGTTAAAATAATTTCACAAAGGTACATAATTTATAACTTTCACTAAAAATTTGTCAACTAAAAATGGTGTTCAAAGTTTAACAGGTTTGACTAAAAAGTCAACTATGGCAAAGTCGATCAGATTTTAAAATGCCATCACTCTGTACATTTTATTTATAAAAAACTCAACCCTGTTACATTTTGGATTTTTGGGCCAAAAGGGAATGTTTTGTGAAGTGGATGGTAGACCCCGAAGAACTCAAATTGGAAGATCAGACATTGCCACTATAGTTGAAGGACTAAAAGTGCAATAAACTGTTTGACATGCCTTTATAAATCTTTAACCACATGTTATAACAAAATTATCTTTTGTAAACCAATCCATTAGAATGTGCACTGTGCCTTTTTCTAAGAGAGAGTAGCATCTACTTTTATTGCAACCTCAATGAAATGCTGAATTTGATTGATGAAAAGAAATATGCCAAATCATATCCAGACATAGTTGTTAGTTCTGTGCTTGTAGCCTCGTACCCCTGGTTTGATTAAAAAGAGGGGAGGGAAGGGAAAAATTGAGGAATGGGAGGGACAAAAATGGAACACCAATAACAACAAACCCAATATAACTCAACTTTGTTGGGGTTTAGGGTCTAGATGTATGCAATGTTACCCCATACAGGGACATTATTTCTGTTAGACCTTTTGGTGCATTGCTGCATTTACTGCCCAAATCTTCCTGGAAAGTAAGAAGGGAAGTTTAATGTGCCATTTTGTTTTAGTCCACAATACCCGAAGCTAAAACATTGTCGAAATGATTCTTGTAGCTGCATGGTCCAGTGAAGGTGTGTGGATGAATTAGAATATAATGGGTAAAAGTGTAAAAAGACTGCATTTGATGTAAGTAAAACAAAACAGTACCAAGGATTCTAAACAATACAGAGGATTCCGCAGTTCCATCACTTTCCTCTCCTTCCAACCACTCAAACAGTAACTTGCACTATCTTTGAACATTCTTCCCCTCTGCACTGAAATCCTTCAACCACACAATGGTTTAATGTTGGAACTCACCTTGACAAACTACGAACTATATAATCTGATAGCAATCTTTGACAACATGGATATGTTGGGAATTCTTTTTCTGCTTATTGATAAAATGTGTTTTCACTAAAGTGTTTAGAGGATATCTCACATCCCATAAGGCATATAGATGTGTTCTTTTTGCAGGAAGAGTTCGCCTTATAAAATCAGGAGAAAGTGTGAGCGACATATCTTTTGATGAACTACGTAAGTTCTTTTTGGTTGGATGGGTGATGAATATTTCTGCCATTTTAATATTTTATCAGCATTTTGAAACCGACATTTTCATCAGCATATTGCTGATTCAAAAGGCCAATTTACCAATTACATCAAGTAGCATTTTGATCCATCAAAGTGTTGTTTTGCATAAAAATGCTATAAAAAAAACAGCATATTGCTCAACAAAACACTGACAGCCAAGAATGTCCATAGTTCTGCCCGTATTGTCGTGCTGCTTGCACTATTTTTAGCTTATTCGTTCATATGCTCTTGGCAGGTGCAGGATTGCTCTAGAGGAGTCCGATTGAGGAATCTAAATTTTTTTAAAGAGTGAGCTTTCCAATGATGATACATGGGGATTATTTCATGTGATTTAATTGATGTAATGCTTTGTTTGCTTCTCTTCTCCCGCATTTTGTTTTATGAAGTAATGTCAAAATGGTGACGAAGTGGGAATGTAGCCTTTAGGTTTGGTCGGTGAAATCATGATTGAATAACAAAACTACTTTAACTCATGTTACAATTTGATGTCTTTCTCGAGATTCATGTGCTTAACTTTAGGGTTTCCAGGCACTAGACTTATTTATAGAGATTCCAGGCACTAGATTCATATGCCCTTAGGTTTTGTTTTAGAGATGGGTTTTAGACTTTTAGAGGATTTTGGAGATGACTTTGGAGGGCTAAGGACTCGTTTGGTGAGTGAAACAGATATGGATTTTAATATTTAGGCAATCAAGATTCTTTTTGAGTGTTTGGTGAAGCATCTTAGGAGTTCTAGTTTCAAGAGTATCTATATCATACATTCAGATGTATAGTATTTTTTGTATATCTGTATGAGTATTCATTTTCGGGTAACTGAATACTCATTTTTTAACATAGCTGAATTCTAGAAAAATAAGTCTTCAGTTGCTCGAAAATTAGCATTTAGTTGCTCGTAAATTAGTATTCATCTCGGATGTATGGGACATACCGTTCAACCAATTATACGGTATATACTGCATAATCTTGATGCCTTTCAATATGTGAACATTTCCAAAAGAAGGTGTTTGATAGCTTCCCAAAGAGAAATGCTAGTCAGAAACATAAATGACACAAAGTTCAACTTTATCATTTGTGAATTCAAATTATCACTCTTTAATTATTTGAGAATTTCTTATTTTAATAAAATTTTGAGAAGTTTGTGTTATTTTAGTTTGTGATTCTAACATTTTCCTAGGGGTGAGCAAGTGCCGAACCGATACTGAAATTTCCCGAAAAAACCGAGAATACCGAACCAAAAAATACCGAACCAAAAAAGTACCGAGAAGAAACCGAACCGTACCGAACCGAATGGTCGGTACGGTATTTGGGAACGGTACGAGGTGACGTACCATACCGAAAATCCCGAACCGAACATATATACTAAAATATTATAAAAAATAATAACCCGGAGTAATATTTTTCATATTCCTTCACTAAATAATACGGAGTAATTTTTAAAAAAAAAATTGGTTGAAGTTTTATCATGTGTAAGTTATACTTTTATTTGAGTTTTAGTTTTTGTGTATAAACATAAAAGTATTCACAAAGATTCGAAAAACTCTCTGTTGTCGTTCATTTTTTTAGTTTGTGAAATATAAACTATGTTTTGATATGCATCCCTTGCATTTAAATATTCATTTTTTTAATTTTTCACGTTTTTTTATTTAAATTCACTTTTAATTTTCAAAAATAAAGGGACATTGTTAAACTTTAAGGTGTAAAGTAGGTATGTATATTCATCCCGATTTGTACCGAAACCGATACCGAACCATCCCGAACCATACCGAACCGATATGTTTGGTACGGTATCGGTACGGGCTAAATACCGAACCATACCGTACCATGCTCACCCCTACATTTTCCCTTCTCAAATTGGATAGGTTTAATTTGAGAGAAATCAGAGAATGATATCCCTTGCCACCATCAACACCGCCCTAACCACCAAGGGCCTAACCATTGACACTATCATCATCGTTGTTACTTGTTAGGGCTACAACCCCCACCCACCTCAATCATTTTCCATACATGAACATTTTGTTTCATCTGATTTCATTCCCTTTTGCATCAAGTATTTGTGCTCCAGATTGAAAATTCATTTTACACATTATAAATTTCAATGCTTGTTCCCCTCACCAAATATGTCTGAGTGCATATCTTAACATGCATTAATTTAAGTTTCGGTGGGTTCTAGAGCCACCCACTTTGAGTGGCTCGAGATGACACCGTCTCCCATTGTGGTATCTAAGTTGATTTGTTCATAAAATTGATGATTTCCTATCTTCGATAACCCCTTCGTCACCCCCCATACTCGATCCAAACCAACACCCTTGTCAGAATAAGTGCCCTTCACTAGAGAGAAGAGGAGGGTTTAGGTGTGGGGGGGGGGGAGTATAGTGAGGCATGAGAATGTTGATAAGTTTTTGTGGGAAAAAAATCGCAGGGATAAAGTAAAGTGTGGAATTAAGAACCGTAAGGAAATTACACACCGATGTACACTGGTTCACCACAACTTGTGGCTACGTCTAGTCTCCCAATAGACTCTCTCGAGCTACACTACTTTCGTCAAGTTTACGTGTGCTTAACAAACTGTTACAAGCTGAGAACTGGAGTCATACGAGTTTTAACTGTAACGCCCCAAAATATACCCTAGAATTATTAATGAATAATTATTCAATTAATCAAATTTGTTTTGATTAAAATAAATTGTTGTTGGGCTTTAGATCGAAATAAAACATATATTGATATCCAATATTACAATCTGGATAAATCTTATAGAGATAAATCCAATATGTTGACTTACTGTATGATCTTAATTTGGGGAACCAGAGTATAGACCCAAATTAGGAATTTGTTTATAATGTGAACTTTGAAATGATTTATTAAAATAAATCATGAAAATAAATAACATGAATTAAATATATGAATTTTATTGAACAAAGGTCAATTAAATGGATTTTGACTCTGTCAAAGTCAACCACCCAAAAATATGATGCCAGAAAAAGTATTACAAATAAATATGAAAATTATATCTTCGGATAGAGTTTAACTGCACGATTGCAACGGTGCAAACGGAATTCGATTCGGAGAAAGGTGAATAAAAAAAATGTACCCCAACTGGAACCAAAAATTGGTCCCAATCAGGGACACTGTGCGAACGGCGCCTCCTCCTCCACTCAGCCGATTCCTACGTAGAAGCAGCTCAGCATTGTCCTCTTCTCCTTCATCAACTCCTATATAAGAAGTACTCAAAACTTTCAAACATACATCATTTTTTCTCAAAATTAGTCCATAAGAATCCTGAGAGTGAGGAGAGTGGTCTGGTGTTGTTGATTGTTGTTGAAGTCGCCGGAGCTAGCCACAAACCTCGCCGGAAAATTTCCAAAACCTTCAATAAGCTTTGAGGTAAGCCCGTAGATATATCCAGTGACTAGAATGTTCATATAGATCATTTCTACGTTCATAAACGGTCGTTTGGTTGAGTTTTGTGTTGACATGTTTGAAGAACCAAAAATCATAAACCATGAAATTGTTGTTAAAATTATGAATTAATGACTCTAAAATGATCTGTGAACATTGGAGAACATTTTTATATAATTTAATTGAAGTTTGGTGATTAAAAATGATAATACTCGAAACTGACCAGAGGAAGAAGAAGATGAACAGTAGCCGAAAATCGATTATTTACTTCTAAAAAATCGATTAGAATTATGTCCAGAAGAGGATGTTCGAAGTCAGTATATAATCGATTATTTAAAATATAAAAATCGATTTAAAAAGTATTAATCGATTATTGTGAAACTAAAAATCGATTTTTAGCCATTAATTGATTATTTAAAATTTAAAAATCGATTTTTAGCATTTAATTGATTATTTAAAATATAAAAATCGATTTTTAGCATTTAATTGATTATTTAAAATATAAAAATCGATTTTTAGCAATTAATTGATTATTTAAAATATAAAAATCGATTTTTAGCATTTAATTGATTATTTAAAATATAAAAATTGATTTTTAGGTATTAATTGATTATTTTAGAAAAATAAAAATCAATTTTCCTCAAGTACAGATCCTGTTCTGAAAATATTATTGAAAATATGCTCTAAAATCCTATTTTGTTACCAATTAATTATAAACCATATAAATATGATTTTGTACAATAAAAATGATGTTTGTGACATATAAACATTATGTGATGCATGACGGTAAGTTCGGGTGTTAACACTCGAGACTAGGCCGCTATTTGTTATTATGCATTATGACGATTTTTTGATTATTGATTATAATGAATTAATGATGATGAACGTTTTGAATGATGATCATGAATTGTTAAAGTGAAAATAATGAATTAATGAATCGTATTGTTAAGGATATCTAGAACAACTCTAAGATATACCCACTTGTATATTGATGATGATTATTAAGGATATCTAGAAGAACTCTAAGATATACCTACTTGACCAATTCATATTTCGGGTTAAAACGTACGTACGGGATCCA